ATCCGACCTTGAAAAATTAGTCCATGCATTTATTACAAACCGACTGGACTACTGTAACTCGCTTTATGCTGGAGTCAGTCAGGTCTCTCGCTCACGTCTCCAGCTTGTCCAAAATGCTGCAGCTCGGCTACTAACAGGAACTCGCAGGTTTGAGCACATTACTCCAGTTCTGTCCTCTCTTCACTGGCTTCCTGTGCGTGTCAGAGTTGATTTTAAGATTCTTCTGCTGACATTTAAGTGTGTTAATGGCCTTGCACCCTCATGCCTCTCCGACCTTTTTCATCCTTATACTCCATCTCGGGCCTTGAGATCATCAGAGTGAAATCTTCTTATTGTCCTATAAATATATTTTATCTAATAGAATTAAAAGAATTTATATTTAAAATTTTACATAAATATTATCCAGTTAAAGACTACATTGGCCATTTCTACCCAAATGTCAGCAAAAGCTGCTCTTTTTGCCAGACTGAAGATGAAAGTATCGAACATCTATTTGTAGATTGTTTTCACAATACAATGTTCTGGTCAGAAATACAAAAACTGCTTACTGAAAAATTTTTTAAGTACATCGTGTTATCAAAAATGCAAATATGGCTCATCTTTAATAATTCATTCTTTTCTTCAGACAAACTATTCATAATAAATCTAATCATAATCATAGCCAAATATTACATACACAAAATGAAGTGGAATGAAAAAATACCCTCATTTAATAATTTTAAAGAAACTGACCTAAAAATATATATTGCCTCTATTGAAAAGCTTAATTTTAACAATAAAAAACTTCTAAGAACAAAAACTCTTATGCAGAAATTTAATTTTATCCTATAAGCAGATCCCTTTGTTGTTTATTATTCCTTTTCTCTTTGTATTGTATTTCTTTATTGTTTCAGATCCTCTGCTATTTAAACTTGAAGTTATTTTTGTATATGTGTTGATATAGTTGCATTTATATTTATTTAAGAACTGTAAAGGTCTAGTTTGATAGGGTCTGTGATAGTTATGTATCTTTTTTTTAATTGTGTTTTGATGCTTCTTTGGATTGGAAGATTTTTGTAATGTCTGGTTGAAATAAAGTTTATTAAAAAAATAAAATAAAATAAAATTACAGTCACAGCTACACTTTAAACATGCAAACTAAAAGTGCAAAATGTTTACATTCAAATTTAATTTAGTTTTGTTCAACTTAGAATATTTTGACTTCTGAATTCAAAAAGCATCAACATTCTAATTGAATGTAAACAAACACATTTCTGTGTTGTTTTTAAATGTCAAACAGGTCAGCTGATGTCAGCTGATGATGTCATGATGATGTGATGTGCTTGACATCATCGTGACATCATGGTGACATCATGGTGACATCATAATGACATTTTCTTTGATGTTGGCATCGTGATGCATCAAAGGACTTCTTTCAAACCACTGCTATCAAAGGTTATAAATATACCCTGTGAACGTGAATTTGCCACAGTAGCTGATTGCTGCAAACGTGTTTTGTGAGAATCATTCAACAATAAACTGCGTTTACTTTCCTTAATTTTCAAAAAAAATTCTTTTTTGAATTGAATTGGATTAGTTCGAGTTAAAAATGCCTAAACTTGTGCCTAATACAATGGAAAAAAAGAAGCCACTGGCCAGCACTTTGAATGCGAGTCGGCCCGTCCGCAACGATCGGAACAATGCAACGAAACAGTTGCTGAAAA